AGGGGGGGGGGGGAGGGAGGGAGGGTGTTGGAAGAAGAAAACATGCCGGGAGCGCAAAGTCGGAGCACAGAACACCTGCGAGAAGCGTGAGGCGTGTGCGTGCGAAGACGGGGTAGCGATGGCACAGAGCCAGAGTGGTTTCCGTCACTTCCACACACAGGAAGGAGAGCGGCGCGGTCCCGGCTCTCCTGTGCGCACGAACACCTTTCTTCCACCCACAACACCGCCTTCACAGGACCGATCAACGTCCAACCTTGTCCAAACAGAGCCCCCCCCCCACCCCCACCCCGCCGCACACGCACTCAGCTGTCACACACAAGCACACACTGCGTTGGGGATGCCCTCCAACTGAACTGAACCTCCGGTAAAATCCGCTCCGCTCGCTTCCCGTCGGCAGGGCGAGGCTGGATCCGCTCTGTAACCTTGTTTAGCGCAGAAGGCTCCGTGTGCGCGCACGTGCGCGCGTACGCACACACTCCCTCACACACAGCGCTGTCGCCCCACAGACACACACTCCGACACTTCGTCACACGGCAGCGGAGTCAGCGAGTGAGTGCGAGAACGTTGAGCCCGCAGGAGGAGAAGCCCGGCGCCAATCCCAGCTCCGTCTCCTCACTCCCCGACAGAACAGTTGTACATTTCCCACCACAAAGACCAAGCTCACGGTCGCGTCATCATTATGTTGTTTTTCTGCTTGTTATTTATCAACCACATGCCACTGCCCCGCCGAAACGCACAAAGACCACCCTATGCGCTATTCTTAGAAGTGACCGATCCGCTCTCCCGCGAGTCTCTGCGCACAGACGCATCGTGGCTCACAATTTGGTTTAGGTCCAACCACAAGAAAAAAAAGATTTAAAAATAAAAATAAATTCTTAAAAGAGCCTCAAAACAGTTACATTGTATTTTGTACGTGTTAAAAAGCAGTTTGTCGGCCGCCCTCGTGCGCCGTCGCAACATGAAACACATGCCAACAAAAACATTCAGATTTTAATTTGTCATAGAACGTCTCACCTGGTTAATTGGCGCTTGTTCCACTTCCAACTCACGCCTTTTTCCTGTTTTGTTCAAGTTGAGCTACAGCAGTGCAGCGGTCCCTCCGTGTGCCGTGCGTGCGTGCGTGTGTGTGTGTGCGTGTGTGTAGACGACGGTCCTGTCTGCTGGATGCGGAGGATCCCGGCCGGAGAAGGAGAAGAAAAAAATAAAAGTGTCTCACAGGTTATCCACTTGTCAGGGAAAACAAAAAGTATGTTCATAAATTTAAAAAAATCGATTTTTCTTTATTTGTCTGTCTTCACTGCCAACTCTGATCCAGGAGTAAAAAGAATTCAAACGGACTTTTCGCTGCTGCAAATGTCACTTGGGTTTCCATGAAGCGACAAAAAAAAAAAGATCCTGCGCGGAAAAGTCAACGTCAGACAAATCCACAAATCCTTTAAAACGGAGACACAGTGAGGAGATCCAGAGCCCGGAGCTCCCCGGAGGATACAGGTGTCGCGGAGTGAGGACTCCCGGAGAACCTCAGTTCAGCTCGGCTGTGCCTCGCAGCAGCAGCTGAAGCCGCGGCAGCAGCGACGGCAGCGCCATGTTGGGGTCTGAGCGGAGCACGCCGTCCTCGGAAAAAGCCTCCTTCTCTGGCTCTCCGTCACTCCATGTCGTCTAGGACGCCGGAATCCGTGTGTGGGAAGGTTCTGTGGAGGTTAATCCACGTAGGTCTGCGTCCCGCGTCTCGTTTGTCGTGCGTAAAATGAGAACGAAAGATCGGAGCGCGATGAGGACGCGCCGCGAGGAGCTGTGCGGGGAGTGTCGAGCAGAATGGATGAACAACGATACTGCTGCTGCTGCCGCTGCTGCTGTCGACCAGACCCACAGACTCGCTCCACTCCCACTCGCGCAGACTCTACCCAGAAGGCCAGTCGGGAGACCGCAATTACCATAAGCCTGGAGCGCACGGCAGTGGCTACGAACGCACGCACACACACATACACACGCGCAAGCACACACACATACATTGACACACATACGGGGAGAGACACACAAACAGAGACACGAGACACACTCGCACACACACACAGCAGCTCCGCTGAAACTCTAGAGCAGGAATAGACGACGTTTCAACGGCAGAAAATGAAGCAGAAAATGCAGCAAAGACAACGGCAACCGAGCTGACTTCAATCTGTATCGTTATAGTAGATAAAATAATACAATAAAAAACACGTAGGACGTGTAAAAATGAGATATTTATGACCTTGGAGCCAACAAATTTTATACAGTATAATGGTCTACGAGGGACCGATGTTAACGTAGCCGAGGGTCAATTCTCCTCCTGAGATGACAGTGTAAATAAACACACTTTAGAACTTGCTCAGCGCTTCGTTAGCTTTTTCTCTAGAGACCCGTTATGTAGAATTGGCCCCCGCCGCCCCCCCCCACTCCAATGAACTTATTTGTAATATAGCACAAAATGTCCATTCTCGTAGAACTACTGTAAAATAAAAATACAAATAATAATTATAATAATGCAATTATCCAATTGTTGCATGGTGAAAGAAAATATTGAAATTGAAAATAATTTGCCTCACTGTGCTGCCCCAAACCGACGGAAGTCCTTCGCCTCCTGAGACCCCCACCACCCCACACAACCAGAATGCGTAACATTTTATTCAAAACGCGTCACAGATTTCTGCGTAAAATGTGAAAGTTACAAAATTAACAGTAAACCAAAGTTGTATAATGGCGACAAAGGGTTTCGTTTTTGTGTCTTTTTAACACATGCTGCTGTTCCATTTCTCCTGCCTGTGGGACACAGTTGGTTTGTAGTAGTCCAAACGGAAGAGCTAACTCAAAAACTGTCTTTCTTCTGAAGGTGTCCACAGTTGGAATGCGTCCAACATGCAAAAGCAACGTGAAGACATGTACTAGTGGCCTACCTCTGCCCAATGGCAAGGTTCTGCACCAACACGCACACCTTTTACGAGTGAGTCACAGACCCACGCACAAGCACACGTGCAGATGATCTGGCCACAAGGTTCCACTATTGAACTAGTGAACACCTATAACGCCAAAAAATCCAAAATGGCTAAAGCTAGGTACGAATCAAGTGACTTTTTGATAGAAATGATCTCAAATTATTTTAAAGAGTCTTAGATGAGACTTATTCTAAACCATGATCAGATTGGACATGGTTTTGGTCATGCTGGTATAAAACCATTCAATTATAGCAATTAGAAACGGCTCAGAGTCCAGGGACTTTCATTTTAACCATTGTGGTGCGCAACATTGATAAAACATGAGCTCAATATTCACGAACAGCTCGTATAGTGAACATGCAAATGATGTAGTGACCTAGAAAAGAGCTTCCTAAATGGTCCAGCCCTGGGGCCCACAGTATTCTTAAGTCTACTGGTTGTGACCCAATTATTTAGGGAAGCACTCAATTTCCCTTTACAAAACAATTCTGTGATACACAATATCTACCAACCAGGACATTATAGGACAGGCTTATGGCCCAAAATGTCAAAATAAATCATATATATAATTTAAAACAAAGTGCGTTTTACAGTACTGCATATTATGGTACTTGATAGGAGATGTGTCATCTCTCTGTCTAACTTTATAATCCGAAGAGTTTACTACAATAGTTACGACTCTTTAGATTTAGCTCCGTGACGTACATATTTATAATTTAATATTTTTTAATTGAGTTTGTTTTCATTTTAATATTGTTTACTCCTTATTTAATTTTTACTGCCTTTTTGCACCGTGGGTTCAAGAAGGCTGAAATTTAATTTGTGCTGTATGTCTGGTATGTATAATAAAGAACTTGAAGCCAACCTATATATGTGTGTGTGTGTGTGTGTGTGTGTGTGTGTGTACCAATACTGATAGCAGAGTTTATTTTGCAGTTTTTTGTGCAGCCCCTTTTGTCTGAAAAAAAGTCTGTCAGTTTGTTTGTGTTTCCTAGGCCAACATAGAAGGTACATCTGAGGTTCACGAGGCTGAGAGAGAGAGAGAGAGAGAGAGAAGGAGAGAGAGAGAGAGAGAGAGAGCTGCAGCCGCAGCTCAAGGCTGGGGCACATCTGTTAAGGCTCCCATGTCAAGCGAAGGAGGTGGAGGCTATGAATATCAACCCTGAGGTGTTGTGTGTGTGTGTGTGTGCGCGCTGGGGAGAACGAGAGAGTGATGGAAAGAGAGAGAGGTGAAGGCTGACAGACAGAGGCAGGGAAGGAAAATGGAAGACCTGGCTGCATTTGCAGCAGCTGCTGAAATTGGAAGGCAAAACCACCCAGGCTGTACAGACACAACACCAGCACAAACCCCACAGAACAAAAGCTCGTCTCCTGAAGGACAGATCGTCCGAAAGTTAGAGGAGACAGAGGCACAAAGGAGGCTGGGAGCAGAGAGAAGATGGGGAGAGGGAGAACTGGTGTGTGTGTGAGATGAGATGTGAAGGGAAGGATGGAGGGTGGATGTACTCATGCATGGCACTGAACAAAAACACCTTCCACTTCTTCTCTCCACACCAAAACTCCGAGGGAAACTACACTGTGGATGTGATTTTTCCAATGGCCACGAGAGTCAGATCTTTGTTTTCCAAAAGGACCGTCAGATCATCTCATTCAATATTTGTCAATGTTCACATGGAACACAGATTCCAAATCAATAGGAGAACTTGTTTCAAATTCCCTGTGCCAACATCTTGTAGAAGTCAGAGACAGGTTGGCTCACTCCTGGGCTGAATCAAAAGAACGAACCGAGCCTCTTTTCCTTGCGATGCATTCAAATATTTGCAGAGGATTTTCAGTGCAAGCGCTCATGTTCCTGCACAAAGACTGATGCACAACCACAGGGTTAATCGGCAAAATAAACAGTTTGCAGAAAAATAATGACGGTGCTGCTGTCAGGCATATTGCCATTGTAAATAAATGATTATAGAGAAGGTCGGCAGTGCAGAAAAGTGGCTTCTGGGAGGAGTTCACACGTCTTTGGGTGTGGACCAAAGAAGAAACTTGACTGAGGTCTCATTCACAACGGCCTTGTTTAATCCAAAGAACTGTACCATGAACCTTGGCACCACCTGGGTGTAGTTTGTTTCAGTTGGTGTTACCTCTAGACTCAACTCTGGGCTGGACCAGAACACCACTGTGGTCAAACATCAAACAGGTGGTCTCAGACTGATTTGAACTGTACTCTGGGTAATTTTACTTCATGGGCCCCGTGTCTTATGGACGGTGCAGCAGTGTGTTTGTTCTATGATATAACTGCAGCTTGAAGCACCTGCATCACTGCATTGAGCCTGATTATCAATACTTTTTACCACTGATACGCTCCCTGTCAATCATTTTCTTCCACGATGATGTTCCAGTCTCCTCCAGGAAAATGCAAACGTGGAGCAGATGATACAGTAAATGAGGGATGGACTAAACCTGGAAACCTGGTGTATCCAGTCTTCACACATGTGAAGAGGTGTTTGGACCCTTCAATGACCACGACTCCTCCAATCATGTCACTCCATCTGTAGGAACTTACAGATGACTCCTACATCAAAACTTGGGGTTGGGGTAAAAGCAGTTGAGTTGAGTCCTATTTTCATGTACATGTGAGCTAAAGAAAGACAGACATGAAACTGTCCTCAGGCGAGACGATGGGGACATTTCCAAGCTGAATATGAAAAAAAAAACCCCACCTTCAATCATCTGGCGGTTAACACGGCCTCATTCTGATGTCACATACAACTAATAATCACGTTGAAAGGTCAGATGGGAGCTACAAAGACACGTGAAATTACACAGCGGCAGCAGCTGCAGCGGCGGCAGCAGCAGCGGGTATTTCCCCCTCTCTCTCCTCGGCTCAGTGACTCAGAGGACGGAGAGAAGGTACAGCGGCTCAGCCTGCGTCCATCCATCAGTGGGAAACTGCACGCGCACGCACATCGCTCCGAAGAACCTCTGGGCAGAGACACACACACACCTAGAGCTGCTGCGAACAACACCTTTGCCGAGCATGTGAGGGAGACACAAAAACAGGTCTGGAGATCAAGAGCACGCAGGCCGTTTTTATGGCACCACTTTTACGACAGTGTGTGAACTTTGTGGTTTTGAAAAGCCGCCCTGAGAACAGCATGTGCCTTTGAAAACACCCGTGCTGCCCGACTCTGGCGGTGAAACTGACGCACCAATGTGTGATCCCAGGCTCTGACTGTCATTTTATGTCTTGTCCGGGATTCTCGCCTGAAGTGTGTGTCTTGTAAAAACCCAAAATGGCGTGAAAACACACACACAGACGTACACGAGCACACAACGCAAGTGTGGAAAGAAACACACACTCTGGGAGGTCACAGCGATCCAGCCATCTGCTGTTGCAATCAGACACCGAAGGGGTGGCAAACACACTCACACACACACACACACACGCTCACACTCATGTATGTCAAGTTCACATGTGCACACACCTCCAATACACACGGGTTTTACTAAACATACACACACACACACATACACACAGCCCTGACACACATTTTAAAGAGCCGACTGCCAACAAACCATACAGCAGACACCCCCCCCCCCCCCCGCGCACACACACGCGCACAGTCGGCAGGCTCAGATTGCAGGAAGCTCTTTGCACGCAGCTTCGTCCACAGCAGCCGGTATTAATCAGCGCAATCCACCTGCACATCGTTATGGATCGCTTACTGCCAGCAGACAACACACGCAGACTCACACACACTCACACGCACACTTTTCGAAAACACCACTCAGGCTGAAATATTCCAAGTTCAGTCATCTAGAACAGGGGACTTTTCAAGGGGTCCACATTTGATCATTTAAAAATACCCAGAGGCCGACTGCTCCTCCTGTGATACTTTAGACTTTAATTGCGTTACACTTGGGGAATATTTAAAGGCATTCGTTCTTGCATGGCAAGTGCTTTTGTGTAATTGGTGATGTAATTATGTCAAAGCCACACATTTTGAACACTTAAGTTCTAATGATAACGAGGTCTTAGTTTGAAAAAAAAAAAAAGAAAAATTAGACCATAAAGTTTAGCTTTTAAGAACGCTGCTAATTCATATTACATATAATTACATTATAGATAGATAAGATAGAACAGATCAAAAGTAGCCAAGAGCCAAACAGCCAACCAAAATGGAATTACATAATTTAAAAAAAATACCTCAAAGTAATCTAAATGTAATTACAACAAATTTTGCTGGAGGAAAAAAAACCCATATTTTCAAAATATAATTTCTAATTTGTTGGTTGGCCAAATTAAAACCTGTCCATGTTCCATGAGTCGGCCCCTGGGCCAGATTTTGGACATGCCAAACAGCTGTGGCTCATATTATAGTAAGAATGAAAACAGTATTTAATACCCAAATAACTCATCTAGAACTCTCTAGATTTAGTTCACACGAGGACTGGGAACTGCGCACAAACAACATAAACCAGGGAAAAAGTCACACACATGCAAACCCACCCACCCACCCACCAGGGTTGGAGGAATGACCGGTTCCCCACAGGCGCGCCATGCTGAGTTAGTGCGGCCTCACCGGGGATAATTACAGACAGCAGCGGCGGCGGCGGGGGGG